CTTATTCTGAACTATTGTAACATGGATGTAATGTGACACGCCTCAAATTGTCCGCTTCGTATAGTTTTCCGGTGCAGTTGACATACATCCGCGATGTACCCTTTCTTTATTCCGCAGTGATTGTGACTCTCGTAATTGAAACGTATCACCCCGTATAAGACCAGAATTGTCGTAAAAACGTTCTAGCCCCTTGGACTATACACACTATACAGACAAATTATAACCCCTGGGATGCACGATACACGTCTACCAAACAATAGAAATAGAAACAATAGACTATAGTTCATGGCCCAAAACATGCGCTTTGCAGTAGACTAAATTTCAAATACATGACTGGGGGTTTAAATTATGGACAAAAGTGGGTACTATTAGCTGGCTAAAAGAGTATACTGTGAGTTGGATGAGTTATCGTTTTACCTTTAACGCCACAGAGTGAATGACCTCTTATTTAAACTGCCCTTGTAGAAGACCAGGAAGTCCTTTATCTCACCATTTGAGACAATCATCCTGGCGGCCGCATTAGGGTCTTGCGTTGTAAGCGTCTCAGAGATTACCCCTTAAAGTTCCCCTTAGATTGCCCTGGAGATGTCATCGTCAACCCATTGTGAGTAGCTATTTTCACTTGTGCGTTGCCCGTTAGGGTAGGGTCCAGATGATAGCTCTGTCAATCTTTGTCACTGCACAATTATTAGGCCTGATTACGTCTAAATAGGTCAATGGGACAATAACGTGCGTGAAATTGTACTCTGTTAGAGTCTTGTCGACAATATCCAGGCACCAAAGTATCTGGAAAGCATAATACTGTTGGTCACACTTACGAACCGTTCGACAATGCCCAAGCCCCTGGTGTATCTCAACCAATGTATTGGTGCTAATATTCTGAGGCAACAATCTGCCATAATACACCAACCGGTAACCTGACACTCTAAGTAATGAACAAGCCAGGAGAAGGCGGCTAAGGTTTACGAGTATTTTTTGATAGCCATCTGGTGGGGAGTTTCACGTGTATTGGCTGATTTATACAGTAGATATATAGTCAAGAGAAGACCGAGGGGTGTTTATAAGCCATGAGGATAACCGTACCACGACTCCAGATTAGGGGAACTATCCGGACAAGCCGATGGACGTCTGCGACGGGTAAAGTGGCACCTACCCTATGGTTTCTATACCGCGATCAATGAGTAAACATATACGTGTATAATCTATAAAATAAGGATACAAATTAACCCTTCGAGTGGCAAGATACATACCTTAGCCGGATTCTCTAGCCATCGTCTGAATAAAGGCTGTCCTTGGCCTGTTGTTGGTAAAAGTCGGCTTCGCTAAAATCCGACCCCTTATTTTTAATGACTGTCTTATCGGACCTCACCTCCTCTTACTTCAGGATACCTTCGCATAAAAGCTATTATTTATCTTTCTGGTTTAGTGAGCTTATTTCTATTTACAGATACGACGCCCCTTTTATATGGAAAGGAACTGACAATAGTAGTAAATTTTACGCCAAAATCAGGGAAGGTGCAACCGAGGAAGATGTATACGCGGAAGGTGTAACCGGATGTCTTGTGAAAGTTGACTTTGATAGGCGCCGTCTTTAAACTTGCAGAGAATGCATTGTTTTAAAATCCTGGACCCGAAGAGTATGCGTTAGTGAGTCCGTAAAAGGCAGCTGATGGTTATTGATAATAATAATATAGATAACGGTGAAACTCGAATCCTTATACTGCACCATTACCTCTTAATTCCATGATACAGCAAAACCACTGTATCGACTAGAAACTTTACTCATATCTATAAGGAAGCTAGACAATATTTTTGCGCCAGTATTCTGGGGCGCCGTGTGAGACGACGATCTTCAGCTAAATAGGGCTGTCTGTTTTATTCGCTATGCTTGTATCATGGGGAATATTTTCTGAAGTAGAATATAATTCACAGGTCAGGCTTAAAAATATTTTATTATATGTGAATTATGTAGACCCATAATTTTGGATACTATCGAAAGAATCTGGCAATGAGATAGCCGTTCGTCCTGGAGCAATATCACAATATCTGTTAAACGATGTCTAATCTTTGGAATCCCGGCTTTCAGAACACTGAATTAAAACATTTACGAAAAAAGTCCCATTTTAACGTTATTATACGGGTTCTTTCAGTTTAGAACTTAGATGATTAGCCTAGATTCCTTAGTAGCCTGACATTTATAACTCTATCACCCGCAGTTGTACTGGGATGTAAGCTTGCGAATGGCCAGTTTATCGTTACATTGAAATAATACTTGTCGGATAAGTAACAAAGAATATCATAATTCCGTAATTGTATATTCCTAAAATCCCTCGCTGGTGCTGTGGAATTCCAGTTTCATATTCGTATACTGGTGATATGCAGACCAATAAATGGGTGATAGTGTTACATGCCTCATGCTTTCACATATCTATCCTAAATGCTACAGAGGGTTGGTTATCTAAAAACGGTTTTGCGGCAATTATATATACAACTCTTCAGGTATCTTGAATTGATATTCGAGTAAAAAGTTTTGTTCAAGGATACCATATAGCAATAAAAAAAGGAAAAGCACCAGAAAATTAAAAGCGCTTTTGGCAGAAGTTGCTAACAGCGTTAGAATAATCGTTAAAAATTCGTCTAGTCCCTGCCTACAGATATGCACTATTGACAATGATTTTTGATTCAGATGTGATCTGGGCTGAATCAATTCTTAATTTTACTTGATCGTATGGCTAATATCAAATGCTAGAAGGAAAACCTAATTTATCATAGTACTTTTTATAAACCCATCCAGAGGAATCAATGCTGGCAAGTTGAAAGTTCTTTCAAGAGTGCCTCACACATGTCGCTTAACAAGTGTACGTGCGTCGAACTAGACCACTGGCTCAGGCCGTGCATAACCTCCCGGACCCTGAACGAGCAATACTTTTTTGAAACCCCCTCTATCCTCAGCATAAGATATGATCCGGTATTAATAATTCCGCCGTTCGCACTTTTGTATACGTGCCATGAGTTAAAGGTATGTTTTTAGTCCGAGTGGCCCCATCTACACCAACCAAGAGGCAAGGATGTGAAGCTATGTTGATGGTGCCTCGATAGCAATGTTGGGTTCCCCTACATACGGCTGACACGTGCTGATGAAATATCGCACTGAATTTTTATAACCCACTGTGGCACTGGGATTTGAAGGTTGCTCTGGCATAAGCTTCGTATTGGGCTGCATACAGGACATGCATGCAAGTTTAATTCTGCAGGTTGCGATCAGTCGAATTGCGGGGATATGTTTCTATTTGCTATCTTCCAGGAACTCTTTAAGCTGCGAATGAGAACCATGGATAAAAGTCTATTGAAATAAAGGAAATGGCTGATCTTCAGGATATACAAGGGTTATTAGAAGCTGTTATACTGCGATATGCTCACATAAAAGCTGAGGAGGTCAGCTGCCGAAGGACTAGGGCAAATTTTCCACCAGGCTAGGATTCTGTAACCCTCTAGTCAACTACAAATGCCCGCAGTAGGTGAAATAGCAATCATGGAACCCTTAGTTGATGCACAGAATAAGGGCGATGCAACAGACTAACTTATCCGAAACTCTGATCCGAGAAAGCAATCAACATAGAAACATGTCCAGGTCAAACCGCCGCCGTAGCGACTGTTATGACTACAATGAAATACGGCATCTGACGAGATCAACAGACACGGAATCTTTAAGCTTGCCCCATCACCGTAGTACAGTTCCTCTGGATGCCTCTTTTGTAGATTTACTTCATATGTCGTTCCTCTTCTACACCCACTAACCTTTCAGAATAAATCACGGCTATAAATCACAAAAGTAAACCACGAGTCCTACTGAAAGAGTGTGAGATCCTACTTCTGGGTACACCTTTTACGGTGACGTCAATACGTTCCGTTAGAGTTTTCTACGCATGCACTTGCAAGCTTCTCATGCAGCAAGCGGCCATGGTGTTTAGGCCGTTTCACACAATTGATCTCAGACTCTATTGCTACCAGGTTGCTAAACCCCAGTAGATCGGTGGAGGTAATTAAAAATTGCTGTTTCCAGAATACTATATAAGAACATGTGCGCTGGGCTATGTAATTAAATCCAAGCTACCCTTTCATTATATCCTCATAAACCTCTTTTCCCTCTCTCAAACACAATCTCACTTAACTATGTCCCACCCAACTCACAAACTCGATAATTCGCCTGAATCTCCAACTGTGGTTGACAAGATCAAAAACATCTTCAAATCGGATGCCTCAGATCAATCCACCGCTCGTGACACTCGTGCTGGCACCGGTGGCCGCGACTCCGCGTCTGATGCCACCCTTAATTCCCATCAAAGTAACTTGGCCGAGGGTGGAAACGCTGGTGCTCACCACGAAGGTATTTTGAACCAGGACAGCCATGTTCCAGGTGTTATTGCCGGATCTTCTGTTGGAAGACTTCAAGCCATGAAGCCTCAAGAAGACCACGCCGTTAACTCCAACGACCCGGCCGCAGCCCACAGATATACTGAAGAACGCGTTCTCCCCCAGACCGAAGGTGGCGAAGGGCACTTTTACGACCCGAACGTCTCTTCTGTTAACCATGGTCTCTCCTCCACTCAAAGAGACACTCTGACTGGTGGAACTTTAGCCAGCACCTCCCATGGTCATTCTGATGTCCATGACAACATGGGAGCTTCTGACTCCACTTCTGGTGGAATTTTTAATAGTGTCGCTAAAACGTTGGGCTTTACCAGCGATCCAGAGACTGTGTCTCACTCCAACCGCGATGCTGGTGCTTCAAACCATGAAACTACCGCTTCCTACGACTCTCATTCCGCTGGAAACTCTAGCGAACATAAGGTGGAGTCCTTGGTTGAAGTTGCCGCCGAGGCTGAAAGAAGAGAGCCTACCTTGGACCCCCTGAATCACAAGATCTTGGTTGGTCATAAATCTGCTCATGTAAACACTTCTGAAACTGACAGTGCTTACAGCGACAATGTCGACGCATCTCCCAAGGTTGCTCTCACTGATTACAGCCGCCATGGTGTGAAGCCAGCCTCGCACTCCACTGATTTTGCTGACAAATCTACCGTTGCGACCCTGAAGCCATTGGCTTCCCACCCTGAGCCTAACCCTAACGCTGGTTCTCACGTTACCCATGGCGCCGGGATTTCTGGTTTTACTGCTACTGCTGCTGTACATCAAAAGTCCCGCGACACCACTGACTATCACAATTCAGGCTTGAACACCCAACGTGCTCCCACCGATGTCAATAACCAGGGAATCAAGGGTACCCTCAACAAGGTAGCCAATACGGTTGGTCCCGGTGACAAAACCTCAACCACTAATGACTACACAAAGGACTTGTATGACGAAACCAGTCTCGGCACTGGTGCTGACAACACCCGCAGTAGCTATCACAGTTCTGGATTAGATTCCAACCATACTCACCCCTCTGCTATTGGCACAAATTCGAGAGATGATACCAACAGAGGTGTTCACACCTCCAACACTGGTTCCGGTGTTGATGGGGCTAAGGATGCAACTAACACGGTTGATTATAAGACTGGTCTTGATCACACCGATCACTCAAGAGGCTCTACCACTGGTAACCATCACGCTGCCGGTGCTGTTGGCGCTGCTGCCGCTACTGCTGCCGCTCTTGGGGCTGCCTCCCACTCCGACCGTTCTCGTGCTTCTGACTTGGATCGTGACATCTCCACCACTGGCAGCTTGAAAGGGTCTACCACCTCTGATTACTCCGGCTCGGACAACACCAACACTAGTAGTATTAAGGGTGCTTTCAACAAAATTGCCGGCAAGATTGGCCTTGGTGACAAATCGGCTGAACAGCAAACCAAGACCAACGCTGGGTATCTCGGTTCCAACCGCGAAACCGGTGTTGCTGGTTCCACCCCTGTGGGTCACGTCGTGGATAGCTCTAGAGGGGCTCGCGGCTACGGCGGCCAGTTAGACGAACCCCCAACCACCTTGGGGTTGGATAGGGACCCTCCGAAGGACCCTGAGAACTTGGCAGGCTCTGGATCTCACCTCACTGCTGGTATCGTCGGTACTACTGCTGCTGGTGCAGGTCTTGGTGCAACTGCCCTCCACAAGCCTCACGACTCCACTCATGGAACAAACTTGAGTCGCGATTCTGATTTGCATCACGGTGTCTCGGGTTTGGAGGCCACCCCATCAGAGATGGCTATTAATACTATCCATTCAGACGAGTTTAAGAACGATCTTGCACGTGCGGCCGAAAATTTGCATCTCGATGATAACTCTGCTTCCCAGCACGGTACTAGTGTCGCTGGGGCCACTGCTGCGGGCTCTGCCGGTATTGGTGAAGTTCACCACGAGGGAAAAGCCCCAAAGGCGACATTAATCAACACTGACCACATTACAAAGGCCACCCATCTTGCCATCGACCGTGAATCTTACTCTCGTACTCACAATTTCAACACTGTGACTGACCCAGAGTTGTTTGCACGTACTCACGACTTCAAAGAGGGGTCTGGGGACAGGTTTGGTGCTCCGCAAGGCTCTGAATGGACCGCTCCGGCTGATACCAGTCGTGGTACTGCCGATCACGATAAGTCCCTTACTAGTACTGGTGTCGCCGCTGCCACAGTGGGTGCTGGCGTTGCTGGCGCCGCTATTCACCATAGAGAATCAGACCATATTCACGGTTCAGGATTTACTGGTGGCCACAGTGCCGGCGCTTCTACTACCCACGCTCCAGCCAGAAACAATGCGGCCGAACTTGGTGCTGCTATTGCTGCCAGCTCGTCCATCCCAACCTCTGACAACAACCACTCAGGTTCCAATGTTGGTTCGGATACAGCTGGTTTGGGTTCTCAGCGTCCTGTTACTAGTGGAGTTGACGCCAAGCTGGACGCTCCGGTTGGCACCCCACGCCACTCCACCTCCACTGTTGCAGATGCTACCAGAACTCCAGCGGCTAACAAGGATCCACAGTTCAACATCCATCAGGTACACGGTGATAACGTCAAGTACAACGACGACGATCTTATCGTGGAAGTTGTTGGGGTTGACGACGACCAAAAGGCGTACCAACTTGCTTTGGATGCAGCCCGGAAGGTACACAACAATGGTGGGATCCTGAGCTTAGGCCTGGACCACAAGATTGTTGTGGAGACTGTCGAAGATACTCTTACTAACGCCCGTCACGCCCAACATTAGTCTTGGTTCCTTAATTCGGGTAATTTTATTTTTTTCCAAAAACTGAGCGTCATTTATATTTTTGTCTATTGAAGTTTACGTTATTATTAATGAATAATCTTTGTAGTGTCTCTAAGGGTATGGTGTACGTAGCTTATGATAGCTTCAGTAAAATATAGTTCTCCGAGCTATAGTAACATACATGTCTCCTGGGTAATAACAGCCTCTGAGGAGACCATGTGATGGTAGATGTAGCTTCGGAAAGTTAACATATTTATATTTGCAATCAACGGCTTGACTCACTAGCATAAGCCCTTACCACTGCAAGTACTTGTAGCTCTTCGATTTCGGCCTGAAAGACAAGACCTATCCAAGCCTTTTTTTATTACTCTAATACTGATTAAGTGTCAATCAGAATACCTGGAATATAAAGTAAGGGGGTTAATACTTAGGGGCCCTCCAGTCCGCACATTTGCACCTCTTCATAACTAAGATGTTTTTTTCTCCTGTTGCAATCGATTTTAAACCCTTTTAAGAACAGACTATGTATCTAAAATCGATTAAATTATTGCGTTTTGCGTTTTACTCTTTGGCTTCCTTCGAAAACTGCACAATGTGGGCCCCTGTTCCTTGTAATACACTGTAAACAGAAAAGTACCCGGCTTTGACTTCAATTCCAATACCAGTCCAAGAGAATGATATCGATCGAAAGGATTACTGTTTTCCGATGATAATGTATCTGAATTTCTGATTGTTTCAGTTGGACTGTACTCCAAATTATTGAACAGTTCATTGGTCTTGGGCTTGCATAGTCCAAGAAGCTGACTTCTCAAAGATATAGACTAATCAACACAACACATAAATGTACGTCCATTCGTACCATCTATTGCAAGGTGGAATATTTCCTGACAACTTCTACAACTATAGCTACAGTCAATATTTCCAAAATTGCACGATAAAGTTCCTGGTACCTCCCATACTTTTCTCAAAAAGCATTCCTCACGCCGTTAGCTGCACAGTGGGGCAATAAGGCACAGGGATCAGTGCGGCGTTTTGTTGTGGCACGACTCCCAAGCAATAGCCCACCTCCTGTTCAAATATCGGGCATATAAGCATCACATCAATGAGGTCAACTCTAGTTTAACATCTACCCCCTATTATCACTAAACATCATGTCCTTTTTCAAAGCCTTACCAGATTTCAACGCAACCTTCCTGAACATCTCACAGCAGTTCCAGGACGGGTTGCAGGGCTCATTGAAGGAAGCGCAGAAAATCTCTGAAGAGCTCCAGCCGTTTGCGGCCAGAACGTCGCGCTTACTCCAGGAGAAGTTCGGTCAGGTTGATGACGTCAGCGAATTGCCTTCTGAGTACCTCGAGTTGGAAAGAAAGGTCGATAACTTGAGAGTTGTGTACAAGAACTTGTTGACGGTGACCGAGACGTTTGAATTCGAGAGCTACGACTACCCACCAAACTTGAAGGAATCGTTCAACGACGTTTCTAAGTCGCTCACGGGTAGATTTTACGAGTTGTCCAAAACCACTACGACCAAAGAGGCGGAGACGTTGCTCAATTCGCAGGCGAAGGAGAAGAGCTTGCCAAAGACGTTGGCCCACGCGTTGTCCCGCGCTGCCGCCAACTCTAGGCAGCAGTTATTGATTTCAGCCTACCATGCAGCTGAAGAAGCTGAGGAAGAGGAGCTTCCGGAGGAGAACCCGTTGGCGAAGGCGCTTTTGAAGTTAGCGGACACCGAGAAGCTTGTGGGTGAGAAGCGATTGGAGCAGGACCAACTGATTATCGTTGACTTCAACCACAAGTTGAATCAGATTCTCACCGACTCCTTCAAGCAGACGTCGCAGAACCGCCGGAAGGTTGAAAAGGCCAGACTTGACTTCGACACCTTGAGAACCCAAGTCAAGAGAGCGGAGGAAGCCGCCAAGGAAACGGAGGCACCAGAGGAGGACAAAGTGCCAGTTAAGGATGTGGAGGGACTCAACTCCAAGCTCGAGGCCGCTGAGGATGAGTTGGTTAGCGCCACTGAAGAAGCTGTGACCTCAATGAAGAGAATCTTGGACCCAGCCGAGAGTGTGAACTTGGTCCAGGTTTTGGTGAAGGCCCAGTTGGAATACTTCAAGAGCGTCACCGCTGATTTGGAGGTTTTGTCGGCCGAATTGGATACCATTATTGTGGAGGCTGCTGAGTCCGAGGAATGAACTGTGGTGGAGGCTTCTGAGTCCAAGAAATGAACCATGGTGAAACCTGCGAATAAACCACAATTATTTGTCTAATCCTTTAGTTATTTAATATTATACTGACTTTGATGGCGTATGTAGCTTAGTATTTTGCACAAGACATATACATTGAGGTACAGGAAGCGATAATGAGATCCAATATAAGGTCACTCTTCCACGCGCCGTATGCCATGGCTCAGTCTTTACCTGGCTTTCTATTTATTTCAACATTCTCTATTTTATTGCATCCGAAATCTGAAGAACATGTGATGATAAAATAGCCTAACTTAAGTTACCTTCTATAGAAACGTGTCGGGGATAAGAGAAGTAACGCCTTATATATTACCCTAGTCTCTCAGGCAAGATATCGTGAGGCCAAGTAGTGAGGAAAAGTATACACCAGGAGTTAAAACACAGCCCTTCCAAAATGAGCCTGAGCTCTAAATTGATCAACTCCGAATTGTGTACGATCCAAACCTACCCACACATCAGGGTTTTACCAGTTATCGATAAGTTTTATAAACCCACCGGGTAGTAGCAGCGGTACGCAATGTTTCTATCGCTCTTTTCCTAGGCGTTATATCCGAAACCAAGTTCGGGGTCTAGATCACGTTGCGATGCTAATCAAAATTCAGAACCATCTAAATTACGTTACAAGTTTTCCGTCTTTTTATATTATCACTAGATTAGACAGCAAAATTTTCATCGGATCTTAATGCGCCACACAGACACCGTTTGCTGGACTGACGTTCATGATTCTACCGATACGGCCCCACCAGAGCTCACCAAAAGCCAAGCCAAGCACCACAGCAAAGAAGTACAACACAACGTAGGTCATGACGGCCAACATCAACGCATAACTGAGCATGATGGCAACAAAGGCAATCACCAACCTGATCACATCGCGCTTGAATTCAGTAAAGGTGGTGAAGAAAAATTGGCGAAGCAAAGATGGCTTCTGAATAGTCGGTGGAGGCGAACTAGAGATCTTTTCCTCATCATCGTCACAACCACAGTCGACTGAAGGAACAGTCTGGGTTTCGGCAACGACAACGGCACTAGAGGACCTCCAGATGTTTTGCTCCAAGTAAGAGGAGAAAAAAATGATTCCCCTCAAGGTGAAGGCAACGGCAAACAAGAAGACAAAGATACCAAATGCCGCACCACCGGAGGTGGCCTTTAAGTTTGTGAATAACACCTCGTAATTGTTCCAATTAGTAGAGAACTTCATGTTCATTCCGCCCATGTGCATACTGCTCATATCCATCGTGCTGTGGTCCATGCCACCCATGCTCATGGTGCTGTGGTCCATAGACATCGAGGTGGTGGTGGTGGCAGAGGTAACGGCAGCAGAAACAACAGAGCTGACAGCAGAGGTGATAGAGGCAACGGAACTGACAGGGCTGCCCATATCCATACCAGACATATTAGACATATCCATTTTTGCGTGTTTTTGAAAAGTTTGTACCAGGGGGTCAGAGAAGATGGGGAGAAAAGAGAGTTCGCTTACTGGAATGGCAACTGCTTATTTATAGGAATAGATAGAAAGTGAACCCTTCAGTGCTTTGGGGAATTGAATATACTTATATAACAATGGGGACATCTCAGTCCATCACAATTGCATTACTCGATTGGGGACTATTTGCTCAATATCCTGCGGCTGATCGGCTCAAGCTGCATATCGGTAGGCATTTTTCGCGCATAGACGGCCGAGAAGAAGGGTTAAAGGCGCCAGACGTCGGAACCCTTAGCCAAATATGGAAAACGAGCACTTAATGTGGCGGTTACCGGTTGTGGACAGCCAGTCAATCATGATGCAAAATGCAGACAGTGTAAAGTTTGCGAGTTTAAATCCCAGGATAAAGATTTTATTAACTCATTAGCCATAAAAGGAAAGAGCAAAGGGATATATACTATCTAGCAGTGGAGTGCGAACAGCTCCTGTTTAGGCATAATCAGCTCGTTGTAATTAGAACCAGCGGAAGAAGCCGTTTGGAAATCCGTATATCTCGGGCTTATCGAAGTTAATCAAAAAATGGAGCGAAAGCCCCAAATTCTGTGGAAGTGAGACGGAATGTAATTAAATCGCTAGCTTGGTTATGGTTCTCTAAAGAGGTTAACGGCATCCTGGAACTCGTTTGAACAAATCGTGGGGGGTTAAATCATCGTGTAGACCAGGAAGTACCTAGAGAAAGTCAAGTCGAGGAAGCCACGGGTCGACTTATGCTGCTTACGGCCGTTTTAAAGTTGCGACCAATGGGGTTAGCTTGTGGAACTGATCTCTCCGCAAACAATATTTGCCACAGTGCCAGCCGTCCAGCACTACGGTAATAGCTTGTCCAATGAGAATGACTCGTCTCTTGATATACAGACCGCGACCCGCCCGGAAGTACATAATGCCCGTAACCAAGAGTAGAGGAATGGTTCTTAACATATATTTCGGGTAATCGTTCCTAATCTTACAAGTCGTTCAAGGGAATCGTTGTTAAGTATATACATAAGAGCCATATCCGAAGACACGGTCATCAGAAGCGAGGTTTTAGCCTTAGGTAAGCTTTTCGACAACCAACTTCTCAGCAGTGTACATCTGGGAGATAGAGGCCTGTCTGTTCAAGGTGTTGGCGTCGAGGTTGGCCTTTGTGAAGATAGCGTTCAATTCGGCGGCGTCAGTCACGGTCCTGTTGGCAGCATAGGTCTCGTTGATTCTTCTGACAAAGTAGCTTCTAAAGTTGTAGTTGTCGAACTTGGCCGCGGTGGCCAAGAGGTTCTTGTAAAGGGAAACTGCTGACATGATGGGGTTTTGTGTTAGAATGTGTGATGCGAGGTGGGCGGCTATCTAAGCAACTTTTTGATGTAGCATTCGAGTTAGCAATGCGTGCAGGCTCGGCTCCAATTTCATTTTCGCGCAAAAGCGGCTTGAGCTAAGGTAAAAGACCTTTATCGCAATCTACATCCTCTAGCTTTCACTTTACTGAAACACCTTTCAAAAAAAAAACCTTCTGTCAGTATGTCCACCTCTGCGCCCCAATCCGACCTCTGGCTTCAATACGCCCAAATCATCTTCCAGTACGCCATCCTCTCGCTCACAATCGCACTCAGAAATCTCACGCTTGCATTCAACTACGCCTTCCAGACATTTCCGCAAGCCACTGCCATGGCTACCTCACTTGTGCTCATCTATATCGCGTATCGTCTCCTCTTTGTGCTCGCACGCATGGTCTATTCCATTGTCATGGGCGTCATCCGCACCCTTCTCATCGCCGTGCTCGTACTTGTCTGCATTGCGGTCTACTTCCGCGGCAACAGGTTCTTCACGAATGACTGTTACGTCCTCCTCGACTACGCGCGGCTGCTAGCTGCCGACAGCGAAACGTCTCAGGACAACTTGCTCGTGCTCAAGCGGGGCTTTGAGAAGGTTTACGCCATGAGTGAGCTTCTCCTCTCCCAGACATTTGACAATGATTCGATGCAAAACAGCTTATAAGGTGAGGCTACGGAAGTATAGAGAGCTATGAACCGTAGACCAATGATCCGTGGTTGTTGTGTTGTTGGTCTGCGCCTGGTCGTGTACGCACCGCCTGCAGCTAATTTCGTTTGTCTCGGCCATTGAACTGTACAGATAATGAATTTGCTCCGCCTCGCGGCTATTCACCACATCCTCCAGCAACGATGGTCAACGACACAGAATACTATGACGCCCTCGGGATCGAACCGACTGCCACGCAGATTGAGATCAAAAAGGCGTACCGCCGCCGCGCGATGGAGACCCATCCGGACAAACACCCAAACGACCCGACCGCAGCAGCGCGCTTCCAGGCCATCGGGGAGGCGTACCAGGTATTGCAGGACCCGGAGTTGAGAAAGAACTATGACCAATTCGGAAAAACAGACCAGTCCGTGCCGGACGCCGGGTTTGACGACCCGTCCGAGTTCTTCAGCACAATGTTTGGTGGCGAGAGCTTCAAAAGCTGGATCGGCGAGTTAACCATGTTGAAGGACTTGCAGAGCACAGCGGAGGTGCTTGGAAAGGAAGATGAGGAGAAGGAAAAGGCAAAGGTGGAGACTACTTCGGAGGACCAGTCAGTGATGCACACCGAGGCCAAGGCCGATGTCGGGGCGTCTGGTACAAGCACGCCAAAGGCAAAGTTGAACAACCCAGCAAAGTACACCAAAGAAACGAGAGAGGAAGTGGAGCGCCTTTATAAGGAGTCCAAGCTCGCGAAGCAGAAGCGTGTGGAGGAACTTGCTAAGGAGTTGGTGGTCCGCTTGGACAAACTTATCGCTGCGTCCTCCTCCGAGGCCGAGTTGACGCTGTTCCAGCAAAACCTCAACACCGAATTCGAGGACTTGAAGATGGAGTCTTTTGGGCTCGAGATCATCCACACCATCGGCAAGATCTACGCGCAGAAGGCCAGTGCGTTCATCTCGTCCTCTAGGACGTTTGGGTTATCCAAGATTTTCACCTCGGTGCGTGACAAGGGCTCTGTCGTCAGCGGCGGGTTCAGCATTTTGTCGTCTGCCTTGGACGCCCAGCTGTTGGTGGAGCAGATGGAAAAGGTTAAGGCTGCGGACCCCGATGCGTGGTCTCAGGAGCAGGAAGCCGAAATCGGCCGTCTTGTCTTTGGGAAGTTTGTTGGCACCGCGTGGGCCTCTTCCAAGTTTGAAATCAAGAACACCATTAGAGACGTATGCGATACCGTCTTAACCGACAAAGAAGTTCCAAAGAAGGCCAGGATTTCCCGCGCCAGAGCGCTCTTGGTGTTGGGAACCAACATGAAGGCTGTGACAAGGGACACTGAGGATGAGGAAGGTGTCCAGGTGTTTGAGGAGATGTGGCATGAGGCCAAGTATACCAAGATGAAGGTCACCAAGGTGAAGAAGTAGCTAGTCTCAGAAATGAGAGGAAGCTGTTCCATTGACATAATGCTACAATATTGATAAATTTAATAAATTGTGTAGTGAGGGTCTCATGATGAAGGTTTGTATCAGTATAGGGATTTCTAGAAATGGTTTTAGAAACCAAATGTTAATATTTTTCGCATAGTCGCCCAGTGGTTTGTGGGTGAATCTTGGTACCGATATACCAGGGGCCTAGCTTCCTTCCATGGTTCTCACTGGTACGCAGATACCAATATTAATAGCATCCTTTACGTGGTAAATTTATTGTTAGATAACCGAGAAGTATTCAAACCTCTCTTCACACTCACACCAGGTGTCTGTGATTCCAATGTGGATCTTTCTGAAACCACATTCTACAACGCACACAGCAATGTCAGTAATACTCAGTAATTGCATTTACCGTATTTATAGTAAACTGGGTTGTCTACTGGCCTTCCACGGCAGCTGCCCATCACATGGGTCTCCCACCTACAACCAGACCTAGCATTATGGATGCACACATGTACAGAATTGCTGGTCGGTTAGAGATAGTATGAGCAAGCAGGGACGAAGGAGTGATACTTTTAGAGTCGTGTATTGCAACGGAGAAAGCATATTTGAGCGCGCCCTTGCTTGGTAAAGGCATATCCCAACGCCTTCAGCCAGCACATCATCCAAGTAATCACCAAGTCATACCAACAGCTATCGCAATGACGCTACCGCGCGACCGCTACGTAGCTGGTGACACTACTTGAACAACCTCCGGCAGCCGGTACAGGCTACACCCCGCTACTCCCAAACTTCTCCGCCCACTCCTCATACTCTTTCAACCCCTCCTTTCCCACACTCGGACGGATAAACCGCAAACTCAACCGGAAATCTTCCAACAGCATGGGCCGGATCAGGTCGCGCGGCGTACTCAACAACTTGTCCCCAAGCGCACGCAACGGTCCCATTGCACCGTCGCGTGCCAATGCTGTCATGTCCGAGCCCGAAAACCCGTCCGTCATCGCAATCAACTCGTCGAGCTCACTCGCACCCAAACTGTGATTCTGGCGCGCTAAGAGCCGCAAGAGCTGTACCTTGCGAGTTTCAGCCTCCGGTAATGGGATGTATTGGCGTCGTACGAATCGCCGCCGCGCGGCCTCGTCGATTGCCCACGGTAAATTTGTCGCCGCAAGTACCAACACACGGCTCACGTCCTCGTCGTGGTTCGCAGTCGCAGACGAGAGATCAGACCACTGGATCAAAAACTCATTCTTGATCCGGCGCGACGACTCGTTCTCGTTATCCGACCGTGACGATAAAATCGAGTCAATCTCGTCCACAAATATAATTGCCGGAGCGAGCTTCTTCGCGATCTGGAACAACGCGCGTACGAGTTTCTCTGACTCACCGAGATACTTAGACGTCAAACTCGAAGCACTGATGCTGAAAAACGTCGAATGCGACTCAGTTGCGACGGCGCGTGCAAGCATCGTCTTCCCGGTACCAGGCGGTCCGAAGAGGAGCATCCCACGTGCGGGCTCCCGGAGTCCGGAAAAGAGATCTGGCCGTAAGAACGGGTACACCACCGTCTCCTTAAGTGAGTTTTTCGCCGCCTCAAGTCCGGCGATGTCGTCCCAGTAGACTTCGTCGCCACGCACGATGATCTCGTTGAGGATCTGTTTCGCGGCGGTAGGATCCACCCCGCGGAGCGACTCAATGAAGGTATCGGTTTGCTCTTCGTTGAGGTTGGAATAGTCAAGGGGGGTGGGATCCGCGGGGGACTGTTCTTCCTTTTTGGCTGAAACCGCGGAAACTCTCTTGGGCGGAATCGGCGGGGCTGGGGGCTTTGAAGCCGGCTTTGGAGCCGATACGGCTGCAGCCCTCGGCGCAGGCGAAGACGTCTTACCCGTAGCAGGTTTGGCGCCATTAGTAGGCCTGGAAATAGGCTTCGCCGTTGCAGACTTTGCTGCTGGCCTGGTCTGTGTGGTTTTCGGAATAGTTCTCGTGCTTGTCGTTGCCTGGGCGACAGGTCTGCCGTTTGCCGCAGGTTTGACCTGGGCAACAGTCCTGGCGCTCAGCGCAGGCTGAATGGCAGGTCTGCCATTAGTCTGAGCCGGTTTTTGCGCTGGCGGAGGTGATGCTCTCGTGGCCGGTGATGCCGCCCGGAATATCTGTGGAGGCGCTCTGGTAGGAGCCTGAGGGGTAGGCGGAGCCTGTGGTCTCGTTTGTGTCCTGGTCTGTGGTTTTGTCAGCGCACCTCTCGCCTGAAACGATGTTTGAGACGTCGCTTGAGGTGCTTTGGCAACAGGTTTAGGAGAAACGGCCTTGGGACCCGAAGACACCCGTATATATGGATCGAGAGAATCCATCTGGGCAGTCACATTGTGAACGGGGCTCTGTACACGGCGAACTGGTTTCGTCGGGAGTGCCACGGGCTCGAGGTTGGGCAGCAGGCTGAAGGAGTCAAACGCCGGGTCGTACGTCTCACTTCTGGGATTATTTTCCGACGGAGTGCTAGCCTGAGGTTTGCTCCAGATGAGATTGGCGGCCTTGAGCGACGTCGCGGAGTTAAGCGAGTGCGCACTGTCATTCAAGTGCACTTTCAGGCCGCGGAGCGTCTTCATCATAAGCTTCTTGGTGGGCTGCGCACCGGTCGCACGCACGGGTGTGCTCACACCGCGAAGGGTAGGGTTGGGCATGTGCGCGTTGGAGGAACGGGTACTCGCTCCACCGTGCCCGTCGCGTGCGCTCTCGCGTCTGGTATCTTCCTCACAGAGAAGCTGCACACGTACCAAATGCTTGACGTTCTGGTCACGGATGGCCTTTATCTCCTCGAGAACCTCAAACTCTTCGGGCGAGAGAGTATACACCGGGTAAAGCTTCTCGGTGTGCTCCAACTTGTAGAGTATGTTTGTGTGTGCGCTCTTCCAACACTGGAGCGCTTCTGCGTGGCGGTGCTGGTCCTCGAGGGTGAGGTTTTCGAAAGTTGTGGTGCTGAACTCATTGTAGAGGTTGCTGAGATGGTCCATCGCCGTCTGGGGCGGTTTTCTTCGGAAAAAACTCATGGGGTAATGCAGGAATAGGTGGTGTCAATGGCTATGAACAACGGAGGGGATTTCTTTTTATATCTGTCTAATGAGTCCTTTTTACCACTTAGGACTAAAGATGTTATATATTCTTACTATTGCGAGCAGGGGAATACTGAATCGGATGAAATTGTGCTCCTTACGTCTGGATGTCGGTTCGCGACACGCATCTGGCTTTGCTATGTCGCGCTGAAAAGAGGAAGGGCAGCCGCTGCATTTGGGTACAGCCACGGCCACTGGGGCGCAAGCGGAAAATCGGGTGATGGGCAGTAGAGAATGGAAAAATCGGGTAAATCATGAAAAATTGCCTTAAGGGGAGAGGGAGGTTAGTTTTTTCTGATGATATTCAGTTCCGTGCTACATTATTATAAGGAAATAATCAAATGGGTAGTAGGTGTTGGCATATTCTCGGGAGTAGACGGTTTCCGAGGTTTCACCGTTAGTGTCGCGCGCGTAAGATACGTCATAGGCCAAGACTGTATACCTTTTCAGGTGCTGTTATAAGCCAAGATACAATTTTTGCTTTTTAGTTGGTTTAATTATTTTATGTATTATAAAAATAAAAAATTAAAATCAAGACGCTCGCGCTGATCGTCGTTAACTTGGTTGTCGTATTGAAACCGGTTTCACTGATAAGTGGCTTAAGGGGTCTATAGCTTATCTGGTTATCGAGACAACGCTTATAAAGTTGGGCCAGTAATATTTAATTGTCGATCAATTCGTACAAGGTAGCAATTAGCCTGCTGGAGTGTTTATGAGTATCGATAAATATCTGCCCTTCAAAATCACGGAGTCAATACCATGGCGCTTGGAGTTCACAGTCGTTGCCCTTACACAATAATCTCCGACATAACAGTTATTCTATATACATCTGTGTGTTTAATGTACCTAGGCATAGGACACCATTCAATTGACAACTTCGGTGATAATGACTTTTATCGACGTAACTGATGTCGTACATGTGCTACGCACTCTCCTAATACAACTTATCCACAGTATGTCTCGACTCCCTCTTCTTAATCTCCAACGCCTTCGCCTCCGTCACCACTCGCTGCCATTTGTCGTCAAACTCCTTGTTCGAAAACTTGTGCAATGCCAAGTCCCTCCCGCGCGCGCTGATGCGCTGCTGCTCCGCCTCCGTCAACAGACATATCTGCTCAAAAACCGCATGCAACTCGGAAAACTCCACATTTTCGCCCGTAGACTTATCCACAATGGTTTTTCCAGGGTAATCCGGGTCAACACGCGCTCTGAAGAAAAAGCCGGTCCGGTTTTGGTAGAACTTATCCGACAGTCGATGATTCTTGTCGTCCCATGGTACCACAATGTCCGCGAGAGGACCCGCTGACGCATGGACCAACGGAATGCACCCGCTGGCCAAATATTCGACCACGGCGATCCCAAAGTGCTCATTCCACATGGCATTCAAGCCATACTTGGAGCGGCGCAACCATGCAACCATTTCCAGGTACGGCGCATTGACCACCAACTGGACGTGGGATGTGATGGCAAGGGTTTCGGCCTGAGCACGTAACTCGCGCACTAACTGCTCGTCCTCTGCGCCTCTGGTAGAACCAAGTAACACCAACTTCGGAATCCTGGCCGGATCCGCCTTGGTTTGCTTGAAAAACGCTGCATACTCCTCCAAGACCATCGCATCACGTTTCTCGGGTCTGAACTGGGCGATTTTCAAGATATAGTCCTCCTTTGCTGCTGGCTTCTGGTTCTGGATGCGCAGGATAATCTCCTCGGTCCCGCAGGGTGGGTAGACGGTCCTGACATCGCTGTTTAAGAACCATATAGACGCAATATGGTCATGGGTCCAGGTGGAGTTGGTCATGATAATATCCACGAACGGCCCCACGCGCGTGTACAAGAACTTGAAGGCCGACCAGTAGATATATTTGCCGATATCTTTCACGTTCAGAAGGTTTAACTTGTTGAGCATATCGGAGGAGACGACCGGGTAGTGTACATAGCTGACGATAGGAATCCGCAAGCACAAGCTGACAAGGGGATAGCCAAACGGAAGACCAAGGGTGTCGCACCAGACATCGGGCGATAGGTTGAATATGGCCTCCCAGGTCAAAAGCAACGAGCCAATGGCCTGGCCGATGAGCGTAAAACGTGGCCAATGTAACGCGGTGATCAAGTGGCGTTTTTGCAAGTATACAAAAACAATTCGTTTCTCATCGAGGTTATCGATCTGGAACTTGTGTGATGCGTTGTCTAGTATCTGTTCTGGCGTCACACCCACATCGCCGGTATAGATTGCCACAACATTGGCGATGTCGTTGTGTAAGGTTTCCTTGACCGCCTCCCACAAAACACGTTCCCCACCGCCAGCAGCATGAGCAAATGGGTGGAAAAAGCCAAAGATTTTGCGGCGCGTGTTGTCTTGCGGGTATTTAGGCTTCATGGCGGCGATAAACCCGGCCTTGTCTGCCTTGTCCTCGGGGCAGATTTTGACCTTATTGTTGGTGTAGTTGGTGTAGTAGGCGGGGTTGCTGCTAGCAAGGATCAAGCGTCTTCTATAAGCCGACTTCTTGTTAAACACGTTCAAGTAGATGGGGCTAGGAGCATCGATGGTTTTCTCCACCAATTCGCGCCATTCCGCCGCTGGCGGCACAAGAAGAAACCGCGATGCAGCGCTCGTCAAGACGGAATAGGAGACGTACGTGAGAATGGCGGTGAGGAGAACGGTCGCGATAGCGATGTCAAAAAGGCCCATTTCTGAGGGGAGCGGGATGTTGAAGCCCATTGGATATGGTTACAGGAGACTGAGGAGGTGCTTGGGGTGAGAGAGCGCTGTTTTATATGCTGTGTGTCGAGATATTTCAAATATAGATAAGAATATGCGTGCGTGGCACACTCGGGCTATTCGGTGATCTGCAACATAGAAACGTAATCTCAAAAAAACAGCTTGAAGTAGCAGCCAGTGACAATTGGACAAAGGTCCGATTTAATTCAGATTAGATGATAGGCTACATGTTGATTTGCGATTACCGGACTGGTTCAGTCGATCTTGCGTATATATTTCGATACCCCAAACTTGAAACAAAAAAAAGAAGAATGTATTGACTTTACGGGACACTCTGCCATCTCACTGAAACAGAATATTCTTAGAAGCCATCTTTTTCTCCCCAGACTTGTTACAACAATATGCAAACATTAAGGTCCCTCGCCCAACGATAAACACCGCCCCTAAATGAATAGGCGGAGGCATAAACCGTCAGACATAGTGAGCAACCAATTTTATTAACTAGTATATTGCCAAATTTATCTGGGTGCAACTTTCAAGGAAAGGGAAAAAAGAAAAAAAACCAATCAAGAAGGGGCAGGATTCGGAGTCTATTTATACTGGCAGCTACGAGCGAGCAGAGCCAGGGCTGGAAAAAAAACTCCCGAGCGGGTAACTGGAAAATAGAACTGAGCGCGGCTATCTTTGCCTAGGGCTTGTTTGTGACTCGTGCACGACCTGCATCAAAGGTCTGGGGATATACTTAATCAAGTTGGCTTCATAATCTGTGAGGCGAAAGATAGTCTGTTTGATGACATAGGAAGAAAGTCTCGGGGATAGGAGTAGACTGTGGCTTAGTTGGCTTTGATTATATTTAGTTTTTATCTCTACCTAGAGCGATAGTAGCAAATACTAGCCGGTGGAAGGGTGAGATACACTGATGTTTCGCTTAGAGTTTCTCGATACGGCTCAAGCCATTTTATGCTTATAGATAACATTAGATAATAGACAAAGGTTAAGAGTGTTGTTTATTCTCCCCCGCCTGCTCAAGTCATAATTCTCTCGTGTTGGTTGCGTGAATCTGAATCGGAGGAAAACTATTATTTTTGGTATAATACCACCTGCAGTCGTATCTCATTTCAATTATTTACAACCTTATGCCGTTCAAAC